ATTGGCACAGGACAGAGCGGAGTTTAGGGCTGTTGTACTTAGGGTCGCTATGAGTCGCAAGGGACTCGACGGCACATAACAACAACAACAACATGGTATTAATGATATTGTTCTATAATGTCTATATCCTGTTGAACCGCCTTTTTAAAATAATTCACACAAATATGGATGCTTTTCAGTTGATTGACCAGGTAGCTGTCTTCTATATTTCTTAGCATAGACTAGTAAGCACATTAATGCAGCATCTGTTTGTTGAAATATTTCAATTGGTATTTCATCAATTCCTGGAACCTTATTTTTTTGCCAGTGCCTTTAGTGCAGCTTGGACTTCTTCCTCTATTACCATTGGTTCTTGATCATATGCTAGACTTCCTATAATGGTTCCATGTGAACAAATTCTTTTTGGTACAGTGACTATTGTTGTTGTTGTTAATTGCCATCAAATTGAACATGACTCATAGCGACTCTATGAACAAAAGACCTGAAGCCTTTCTATAACTTTCGTCTTTTTTCATAGAGTTTCCAGAGACATGTTGTTTAGGAAATGGATGCCACTCCTGCTTCCAAACCTGTCTTAAACTGGAGCTCCACCAAACACTGTCCACCATGGGTAACTGTTACGGCATCTAATACCCCAGTGGCACAAGGTTCAGCATCACAGCAACCTGAGGTTGCCTCAGTACAGCAAATTGACAGAATAGTGCTGTACTGCTTAGAAGAATGTTCCTCCAAAATATAATAACAACTGACTTCTAAATACAAAAGCTCTCCATGAGGTCTTGTTGACTCTAAACAAAAGATTTAAATAAAAAACCAATATAATATGCTGTTGTTGATTGTTGTTATGTGCTGTTGAGTCACCTGCAACCCATAGCAACCCTATGTACAGTAGCTCTGAACCCTTCCTTGTCTTGTGCCAGTCTAACTAGTTTCAACACACCAACTCCCATTGTCCCAGTCACTATATCAATCCATCTCATCTGGGGTCTTCCTCTCCTGTGCTGTCCCTCCACCCTTCTGAGCATGATGTCCTTCTCCAAGGACTGATCTCTCCTGGCCATATGTCCAAAGTATGTGAGACAGAGCTTCAAAAACCTAGCCTTCAAGGAGAGACTTGGTTTCACCCTCTCCAAGACAGACCTATCTGTTTTCTTGGCAGTCCATGTATGTTCAAGACTCTTCTCCAGCACCACAGCTTGTAGGCGTGGATTCTTCTTCTCTCACCCTTGGTCATTGTCTAGCTCTCTGAAGCATAACAAGTAATTGTGAAGACCATGGCCTAGCCACACCTTAGTCTCTCAACTGACATAGTTGCTTTTCAGCACTCTGGAAAGAGGTCCCTGACAGCAGATTTTCCCAATACAATTCATCTTTTGATTTCCTGATTGCAGGTGTTAAGAGTGTTGATTGTGGAGTCAAGCAAGCTGTAATTGCTAACAACGTCAATCTCTTCTCCATCTATCATGGTGCTGCCAATTGGCCCAGTGGTGAGAATCTTTGTCTTCATGTTTAGTTTCTATCCACATTGAGGACTACAGTGCTTCAGGTCTTCTTCAGTTTCAGCAAGCAAGTTTGTGTCACCTGCATATCGTAAGTTGTTGATGAGTCTTCCTCCAATCTTGATGCTATATTCCTTCACATAAAACCCTGCTTCTCGAATGATTTGTTCTGAAAATAGATTGAAAAGGTGTGGAGACAGGATGCATCCCTGATGCACTCCTTTCCTGATTTGGAACCACACAGTATTTCCCTGCTTTGTTCTGAGGTCTACTTCCTGGTCATAGTATAGCTTTGACATAAGCACAATCAAGTGTTTTGGGATTCCCATTTCCCCCAAGGTTAGCCACAATTGTTGTGATCCACCCAGTCAAATGCCTTTGAATGGTCAATGAAACACAGATAGACATTCTTCTGGTATTCTGCTTTCTGCCAAGATCCATCTGACATTGGCAATAATGTCTCTAGAGCCACAGCCTCTTCTAAATCCAGCTTGTCATTTCTGGTAGTTCTCTGTCAATGTACTGTTCCAGTCATTTCTGAATAAGCTTCAGCAGGATTTTGCTAGTGTGTGACATTAGTGATATTATTTGATAATTTCCACACTCTGTCAGGTCACTTTTTTTTTAGAATGGGAATAAATATGGATCTCTTCTTGGTCAGTTGGCCAAGTAGTTGTCCTCTAGATTTCTTGGCACACTTAGCGAGCATATCCAGGGCAGCATCTGTTTGTTGAAATAAGTCAATTTGCATTCCAGCAATTTCTGGGGCTTTTTCCCCCCAAGTCCTTCAAAGCAGCGTGGACTTCCTCCTTTATCATTATTGCCTCTTAATCATATGTTGTTTCTTGAAATTCTTCTGTGTCAGCCAATTCTTTTTGGTACAATAACTCTGTATACTTCTTCCACCTTCTTTTAATGCTTCCTGAATCATTCAATATTCTGCCTTAAGTATTGCAACTCAAGGCTTGAATCTGCTCTTTAGTTCCTTCACTTTAAGAAATACTGAGTGAATTCGGTCCTTTTGATTTTCTAACTCCAGTTCCTTGCACACTATTATTCCTTCCATTTTCTTTTGGTATTTTTGGCAACATCCAAAATTTTGCCTACAGAATCCTTCACTGTTGCACCTTGAGGCTTGAATTTCTCCCCCCCACCCCTTCAGTCCTTTCAGCTTGAGAAATGCTGAGCATGGTTTTCTTTTTTGGTTTCCAACTCCAGCTCTTTGTATGTTTTATTCATATCGTGCTTGTCTTCTTGAGCTGCCCTTCTAAATCTTGTTATCTCTCTTATTTTATCTTTTCTCCCTTTCACTTTAGTTTTCTGCATTCAAGAGCAAATTTTAGTCTCTTCTGATAACAATTTTGATCTTTTCTGTCTCTTCTGCCTTTTTAATGACCTTTTTCTTTCTTCTATGATGTCTTTGATGTCATCCAACAACTCTGGTCATTAGTGTTCAATGTAGCAAATCTATTCTTGAGATAGCCTCTAAATTCAGGTGGGATAAGTTCAAGGTTATATTTTGGCTCTCATGGACTTGAGGTTGTAATTTCGTTTCATGGACTTGATTGGATGCATCAACTTTCATCAGCTTCAGTTTTAACTTGCATACGAACAATTGATTGCATATGAACAATTTGGCTTTGTTTTGCCTGACTGATGATATTGAGCTTCTCCACTGTCTCTTTCCACAGATATAGTTGATTTGATTTTTGTATAGTCTGTTAAGTGAAGTCCATATGTATAGTTTCTGTGCATTTAAAAAAAGTATTTGCAGTGGTTTTATTAGCATGTGTTCTATCATGTGTTCTTTAGCCTCATTCTATCACCAAGGTCATATTTTCCAACAATCTTCCTTCTTTGTTGACAGCTTTTGCATTGTAATCACCAGGTATTATTAGTGCAAACTTAACTGTATGCTCGATCAATTTCAGACTGCATTCTAGAGGTCCCTAATTTCTTCATCGTTGACCTTAGTGCTTGATGTGGAAATTCGAATAATGGTTGTATTGATAGGTGTTCCTTGCATAAGGGTGGAAATTATCCTACTTATGACAGCATTCTAATTCAGAATAGATCTTGACATGTTCTTTTTGATATTGAATATGATGCCATTCCTCTTTATTATTTCTTGGACAGTAGACTATATGCTTGTCTAATGCAAAACGGCTAATATCAGTCCATTTCATTTTGTTAATGCCTAGGATATCAATTTTTATGTATTCCATTTCATTTCTGACAATGTCCAACTTTCCCAGATTTTCATACTTTCTATGTGAGCTGTGGGCTGGAAGCCTCTTGTTTAGAGTCAATCAGGACCCAGTGGGCGGGCCTAGTTTTAATTATGTTTGAGACAAACATTCTGCTAAGTGGTACCGCATTGTTCTGTCAATTTACTCTACTGAGGTAACTTGGAGTTGCTGTGATGGTGAACGCTGTGCCACTGATGTGTCAATTACCATAGTGGTTACCCATGGTGGACAGATTTTGGTGGAGCTCCCAGATTGAGACAGTCTTGGAAGCAGGTGTGGTGTCCGCTTTCTAAACCGCATGGGTCTCAAAACTCTATGAATGTAGAGAAATGATGATGGTTACAGAACAGGGTTCAGGTGGTTTGTTCATAGGGTCACTATGAGTCATGCTTGACTTGACGGCTCTTAACAACAACAACATGAATGTTACATGTTTCAAGTATGAATGGATATTTTCAGCTGTTCACCTCATTTTGATTTGTGCCACATCAGCAAATTAAAGTCCTTCATTGGTTGAAAGCTTTACTCCATCCACATCACTCAGGTAGACTCTGTTTTGAGGAAGCAGTTCTTACCTTGCCATAGTTTGAGCTCCTTCCAACCTGAGGGCTCATCTTGTGGCATGACGTCAGGCAATGTTCTGCTCCTATTTGTAGGGTTCTCAAAGTCCTATTGATGGCCAGACCTGAAGCTCTTCTCAAAACTGTCCACTAAGGGTGATCTTACTGATATTTGATGAAGCTTACCCAGCTTCTTCTAGCCTCACATGAAAGAGGAGAGATATCACATGAAAGATATCTTGGATCCTGGAAGATTTTACAGGCTGCCTCCCTTCTCTCCTTTCCCCATTAGACTACATGGTAATCACATGTGATAATGGTGGTCTGTTCTCATGGCAACTTCATGCGTCACGGTCAAGCTCATTCAACATGTTCACCTTTATCCACCAACACAATCTTCTATATCATGGTGGTATTCACCCTTAATGGCAGCCCTCACTCATTGTGGCACTCTCACCCATCATGCCACCCTCATCCATGCTGGTAAATCTCACCAACCACGGCAGCCCCCACCCAACCAGGCTTTACCATGTGGCAGCACAGCCCCATGATGGCGGACGGCCCTCTCTCAGGTTAGCAGTCCTTATCCATAAGGGCAGCCTTACTCATCATGGTGGCCCTTGCCCTCACCCATCATCGAGGCCCTTAGTCCTCACCAATCATGGCAAACAGGTCCGAGTAGTACACAGAACTCTGCTTCTCCTTGCTATGCTGTAGGTTGGGTCGGTAGAGGATCCACGTCACTGTAAGCCCAAAGTAAGCCCCAAACGTGTGGATGGTCATGGAGCCACCTGCATCCTTTACCTGAAGTACAAAATCCTGTCAGGTTCTTACTCTTGCTTTCCCTCTATCCCCTTTTCATACACCAATGGACAGAAATGCAGGTGCCTCTGACTCCTTATTTTGTAGGATGGAGCCCAAGATTCCCATAGACCAGTCAGATGGGGAGGGGGATAAGGTCTTGATATCTTAACCCAGGCTGTAAGTTCTTAACTCACACTACTCTAAGTTGTCTACTAGGCCTCTACTTAGGCTACTTTGTCACATCCTTACCAGATGGAAAAACCCATGTGTGGAGAGGGATCAGATCAGAATCCCATGGCTGCAAGATGTGAAGCAGAGCTATCACCCAGGGCAGCTAGACCTCTCCATGAAGTCTGTTGCTCACTGGCTTCCACCTTTTCTTAGCTCTTGGTTAGGTCTCTTCTCTCTCTGGGATCCCCTCACTGTACTTTTTAAAAACACCTACACACCCATGTTTATCGTGGCTTTGTTCATAATAGCAAGGAGTTGGAAACAACCTAAGTGCCCATCAACAAACGAATGGATAGAGAAGCTGTGGTATATTCACACAATGGAATACTACACTGCATTGAAAAATAAGGAACTCATGCAATATTATTCAAAATGGGTGACCCTGGAGGACATTATGCTGAATGAAGTATCTCAGTCACAAAAGGACAAATACTGTACAGTGCCACTCTTGTAAAACAGGACTGACCTCGGTGTTGGGGGGAGACTGAGAAAGATGGGATAAATAATGTATACTGCATTGAAACAGATGAGGGAGAAAACTGTTTACAAGGGATATGTGATAGGTATTATTGTCATGACAGGGGTCCAGAGCGAAGGCTGTATAGTGGAGTGGACCTGGGGGGAAGGATTGTAAAACAATGAAAGAATTTTTCTTTTACTTTTCCAAGAGGGTAGTGTACTGGGGAGGGGGTGGGGGGAAGGATTGAGAGGGGAGAAAAGTGCAACAATGAATGAATGGAAATCCAAAGTCTCTGTAAATTTTCATTGAAATTAATAATAAATTTTAAAAAACCCACAACAAAAACCACCCTGGCCCAACACCACTCCATCCAGAGTTTGGTTACCTCTCTTCCTCTGTACCCATCATCTTTTTTGCCCCCCAGCCTCCTAGCCAATGGCATCCCACCCTCTTCTCCCTTGTCCTGGTTGTCACAGCAGGCTCATCCTCTCCTCACCTGCCCCTTCCTGTTACTCCTGACTTTCCCTATCCTGCACCTCTCACTTGGCTTCAAGTCTCAAACTCCTCACCCACAAAATGTGAAAGATCACAGTGACATGGCAGGGCTGTTGTGAGTATGAAACGAGACAATGGGTGTCAATCTTTATGGAAGCAATGCCTGGTGAGTGCCTGATGTTAGCACACACCCTTTCCCTTGCCTCCTCTTTTCTCCACTTGGAACCAATCTCAGAAGGAATTCCAATCAGAATTTTGGACTTGACTTTTGATGGAGAAGTCCAGACAGGAAGATCAAAGTGTTGCCCAAGGTCACAGAACATTTGTTGACCGAGGTGGGTTTATCTACTCGCTATGTGACTTTGAGTGAGCCACTTAACTCCTCTGAGGTTTAGCTTTCTCATCTGTAAAATGGGGATAATGACAGTCCTAGCCATGAGGATGAAATAAGTTGTTATGTTCCATTGAGTCAACTACGACTCATAGCGACCCTATACATAACAGCTCTGAACTCTGCTCTATTCTGTCCCACGTGCCCTAATTACCCCAGTTACTGTGTCAATACATCTCATCTGGGTCTTCCTCTCCTGGGCCATTTCTACACCCTTCCAAGCATGATATCCTCCTTCCCATTAAATGAGTTAAATCATGCAAAAGTATTCAGAGCAAGTCCCCTCAAATGAAAAGTACTCCTTAGTGGTAGTACATTCATAAAGCTTTTAACCAAAAGGTTGGTGTTTTAAATCTACCAGCTGCTCTTTGGAATCCGCTTCTTTAAAGCTTTACGGCTTTGGAAACCTTACGGCAGGTCTACTCTTTCGTATAGGTTGGCTATGAGTTGCAATCACTCCCCAACAGTTGTGGAAGTGTTAAATTCGGGAGAATGATCTGATTTACACATACCCTGGCCTAAGGGACAGGTACACAACAACAACAACAACAACTAGGTGGCATGTGAGGAAATGATGAAGGCAGGGAGATAAGGCCGCAGGAAGAGCTGATAATGACTTTGAATAGTATGAGGTCTGAAAAAAAATTACTAAATGAAGATTGATCCTCAATCCCTAGGGAGAGGTTTTCCAGGCAAAGTCCACTGTCTAGAAGAGGGGATCTAGGAAGGGACCCCTGAGGGTTCTGAGGTACAGCTAGAGGTCTAGGGTACTTCCATCTTAGGTCACCAACTAGACCAACTCCAGGGACCACAGTCTAAGTTGATGGAATCCGTAGGGTGTATAATGCACACTCTGTGCAGTCGTCTGTGGCTGTTCCATCCTCCCCTGAGAGCCTTCCTTACAGATTTGTCCCTTTAAGATACTAGATCCTTGTCTTGGCTGAACAGCTTGGGAATGTGGAATGTACAGGGCACAGGTGGTGAAAGTGTGTACAGGAACAGCTCACTCACTCCTCATATCTGATGTACAAGGAGGAAGAAGAAGAGAGAAAACCAATATACAAGGAACCCCTGCTCTGCTCGGGCTCTGGGGAGAGTTTGCCACGTGGACTATCCTTGCTGCTTGGCAGATGTCATTAAACACACTGTACAGATGAAGAAACTGAGGCTCAGGAAGTTAAGTGACTTTTCAAGGTCTGAACTGCACCCAGGCAGACATGTCTCTCTAGTCTTTTCTTTATCTAATCCCTTACCGTCTCCCCAGGTGTTCCTATGACCCCCAATCTGAGCCATGCTCACCAACAGCAGGTTGAGGAGAATGAACTCATTCACGGTGAAGAGGGTCACTTGGAAGAGAGTCATGATGAGGAGCTGGACAGGGCTGACTTTGCCCAGAACTGCCCCGAAGGCCACACACACAGAGCCCACACAGAAGTCGGCATTGATGAGGCTGTGGGGAAATGGGTACAGCAGTGAGTGGAGGACTGAGGCTCCAGCAAGAAGCAGCCCTCACGCCTGGGTTTGAATGTAGGTTTTGATCTCAATCTTTCTGAGCCTCAGTTTCATGACCTGTGATAATGGGTATGTTATCTACATTGTAGGACTATTTTAAATGAAAACCCCTCAAGCTCACTGCTAAGTCAGCCCTAACTACAGCGACCCCCTATCGGTTTTCTGAGACTGTAAATCACAGTGGGAGGCGACTGTGCGTCTTTGTCCACAGCTGGTAGCTTGGTCTTGCCTGAGACGAGAGCAGCCTTTGAATAAGCAGTGCAGCCCTCTATGGACGAGCCCACTAGAGCACCCCTCAGAGCTATTCTAAGAATAAAAGAAGTAATACGTGTGACATGCCTGGTCCATAGTCAGCTTTCCTTTCCCCATTTCTATCTCAGGGCCCCTCTTCGTGGGAAGCTTGTCCTCTTACCCACACGATCCTGCTCCAGTTGGTGAACATGTCCCAGATTTGGCACCTGCTGTGCTCTCCATCTTTAATTAGACCTTCCAGAACCTCCACTTGCTGCTTCCTCTTTCAGGAAACCCTCCTTGAGTCCTCCAACCAGGTTATTTGTCTCGGATCCTTTTCTCTGACTGTTTATCACCCTGCTGGTTACTAGGGCTTTCCCTGGCCTTAAGCTATTGTTGTGGCCTTCCCTTCAGCTTTACCAAGAGGTAACATCTATGTCTAAGGGGTGGGATTAGGGGAGGAACCAGGATTTAACCAGTACCCCACCAAGGCTCCTTTCTCAGTCCACCTGGCCGAGTAGTTTTGATGGGCCAGAGCGGAGGGTCTGAGACTAGCCATTGGAGAAAAATTTGGCCTTGAATTTCTGCAGCTTCTGCTGTAGGGCTTGGGAGACCTTCCTCACAGCTGGACACAAACCATTGTAACTTTTTCCTGGAGCATCACTCATTAGGAAGTTGTACGTTCCTTTGTGCAAGTGTATGAAGCAGGCAGGGTGTACCCTGATTGGATGGCGTGAATTAGTCATCCGAGCCCCGCCCACACATGCCCCGCCCACCAGAACCCAGTCTGTGGTCTGCGCCCATCCTCATTTCTTGTCCCCCTGTCCCCGCCCTCACCTCTCCACGCTGAGGAGGATGTAGCCATCTTGGAAGTGGTGGAACCAGCCCTGCATGAGCAATGCCCACTGGATGCCAAAGGCTGCAAGCAGGAAGTTGAAGCCCACGGCACTGAAGCTGTAGCGCTGCAGAAAGGTCATGAGGAAGCCAAAACCCACGAAGATCATCACATGCACGTCCTGGAAGCCTGCAAGGGTGGGAGAGGATGCAGCCAGGGTAGCCCTAGGATAGTCCTGGGTCTGGGCTGGTGAGGCCCCCCGGGTAGCGCCTCTGTCTTTCCTGCCACAAGCTTTCAAGCCCTCCTAAGCTCTGCCCCTAAGCTTTCTTTCCCTTCTTTCAAATTGAGAAGGTAACTCCTCTTTTCCATTCTCCATTGTTAATGATTCAGGACCAAGAATCATTACCAGCATCTGAGGTGGAGCCAGGCTGGGGTGGCTAAGGTGGACCCCCACTTTAGATCACTGGACTGTAGTGCCCAGAGATGCCGGGGGGCCTGCACCTTAAGAGTTGGCACTACATCCACTTCCCTAGTAGCTCTGCTCCTCCAGGGTGGAAGTGGGAAGTTGGGTATCACAAATTGGGGCCAAAGCAGGTTACATTTAGTGTCCAGTGTCTAGACCTCTACGGGCCATGATGTCTTGCCCTTATCTTCACCCCTTGCACTTTTCCACCTTCACACCAGCCCTTGAGACCCATCTGAACAAGAAGTCCCGCAGCCAATCACAACGGTTGGTCACCTTGGAGGACATCCCTGCCTCCAGCAAGGATCCTTTTCATTATCACTGAGAGTTGGATTTGTACTCTAACTACAGTGTTCAGGACCAAACTTCCTGGGAAAGTGAATTAATTTGGTCTCAGAGCCACGTTTAATGCTTTCTTCCCAGATGCTGCACCGTTAAATGCAGATATGCTTCTAAAGCACCTAGCATGGAATATATCCCCAAATTCAAACCAAACCAAACCAAACCAGGGAGCTTTGGTGACCTAATGGTAAGATGCTGTGCTGCAATCCCAAAGACACGTGGTCCAAATCCATCAGCTACTCCGCAGGAGAAGGATGGGCAATCTCCTATGCAATTTACTGCTTTTGAAAACCAGCTGGAGGGTCAGCTATGGGTTAGTTCCAACTCAGTGGCACACAATGATGACAACAACCCAAAACAGTTGCCATGGAGTTGATTCTGACTCGTGGTAACTCTATCAGAGTAGAGCTGTGTGCCATCTGGTTTTCAATGGCTGAACTTTTTGGTAGTTCTTCACCCAGTCTTCATTCTGGGACTCCTCTGAGTGGACCCAGATCTCCAATCTTTCAGTTTGCAGCCAGCCACATTAGTAGTTTATTCCACCCAGAGACTCCTGTCCCATAATAAGTACTTAAAATGAGCTGAAGTTGGAATTGATAATTACTTGGGCATGTTGTTGTGTGCCATTGAGTCAGAATCAACCTACAACAGGTTTTCAGACGCTGTAAATTCTGTGAGAAGATACTGCCCATTGATTGCCAATCTTTCTCCTGAAGAACAGCTGGTGGGTTAGAACTGCCTGCCTTTGGGTTGGCAGCACAACTCCTTACCACTAAGCCACGAGAGCTTCCTTATTTGGGCATCATCATGACTAAACTCTGGTGGCCTACCTGAAGTGCTTGCTGCAGGTCAAGGACTGCAGCCTTCCATATGGATTGAAGCGCAACATCAAGAAAACAAAGATTCTCACCACTGGGCCGATTGGCAGAATCATGATAGACAGTGAAGAGATAGAGATTGTTAACAGCTTTAGTTTGCATGGCTCCATAATCAACACTCTTGGTACCAGCAGCCAGAAAATTTAAAAAAACCCCAAAACCTAATTGCATTGGGAAAGTTGGAGGTCAAGGACCTCTCCAGAGTACTGAAGAGCAACGACGCCAGTCTGGAGAATAAGGTGCACCTGATCCAGGTCATAGTCTTTGCAATTGCTTGCTATGTGTCAGAGAGCTGGACAATGACTAGGGTTGATAGAAGGAGCATTGATACTTTTGAGCTGTGGTGCTGGAGAGAGTATTGAATATACCATGGACTGCCAGGAGGACAAACAGGTTCATCCTAGGGAAGGTGAAACCAGGCTGCTCCTTGGAGGCAAGGTTTCTGAAGCTTTGTCTGACATATTTTGGGCATGTTGCAAGAAGGGACCAGTCCTTGGAGAGGGACATCATGCTCAGAAGGGTGGAGGGATGGAGAAAAAGAGGAATACCATCGATGAGATGGGTTGATTCAGTGACTGGGGTAATGAGGGTAGGAGTGTCAGAGACAGTAAAGTTGGCACAGGACAGAGCAGGTTCAGGGCTGTTGTACAAAGGGTCACTATGAGTCACAAGCGACTCGGTGACATATAACAACAACAACTCTGGTGGCAAAAAGCTGCACTGCAATCCTGAAGGCACACAGTTTCAGTCCACCAGCCGCTCCATAGGAGAAGGTTGGGCAATCTCCTCTTGTGTGTTTTACTGCCTCTGAAAACCCCCTGGAGGGTCAATTTCAACTTAATGACATGCACCAACATTTCTAAGTTAGAATTCAACTGTTCTACCAATTCTAGGGAATTATATGATGTGTATAAAGGACACACCCTCTCTATGGTTTCTGGCTAAGAACGTATCCTCTCTAACTATAAGGAAATATCAGATAAACACTAAAGGAGACATTTTTCTGTTTAAAAAGGTGTGAGAAATATACTCCTTAAAAAGAACCACAGAAGACAAAAGCTGGGTAAATGTTCCTGAAGAACAAAGTCAAAAGAGATAAGCCAAGTAAATGCAACACTTCACTCTAGAGTGGGGAGGAGGAAATGATTTACAGGTCATTAATGGGTCAAGTGACAAAATGGGATACGGGCAGCAGATTAACTGATCAGTATAGTTTACGAAGTTGGTGAATGTGGTTTTGAAAAGAATGCTGCTATTCAGAGTGTATATGTGTGTGTGTGTGTGTGTGTGTGTGTGTGTGTGTGTGTGTGTGTGTGTGTGTTGTGTGTGTTGTGTGTGCGCGCGCGCACGCGCACGCGCAAAAAATCTGAACAATGTCTGAGCTATGTTTAAAGTGTTCCATACACTGTTTTTTATGCATTTCCAACATTTTGTAAATTTGGAGTAATTATCAAATAAGAAAGTTCTATTTTTTTTAAATGTTACTCACAAGAAATGAAGTCCTTATTCATGATAGAACACAGATGCACCTTGAAAAGATGCTGAGTGAAATAAGACAGTCACAGAAGGACAAGTACGTTCTAATATCACTTATATTAAATAACTAGCGTAGGGGAGTCTACAGAGAACAGTTTCTTGGTTGCTGGAGACGGAGAAAGAGGGAGTCGTTGCTTAGGGGATACCAAGCTTAGCTAAGGGTGATGGGGAAATGTGCAAACAGGTAATGGTAGTGGAGGAACAGAATTACTGTGCATCTGAAAAATGTCAAGCGGAGATGACAAACAGAGGTAGATATAGATATCTAGATATAGATAGATATATGGTACAATTAAAAAAAATAAAGAGGGCAAGTGGAGGGCCAGGGCCCTTCCAGGCCTCCCCTGGCCCTGCCTGCCTGCCTCGGCATTGCCGCTTCCACACCTGTGCTCCAGCCAGCTCTGCCTCATTCTGAGGCCTTTGCTGAGAACATTCCTTCCACCTGGGAAAACTAACAACTTCTCTTCCAGACCACTGCAAAATGTCACCTCCTTAGAGGTACCTTCCCTGACTACCCAGTTCAAAATGGGTTTTTCTTTCTTAAGAGTCTCCTCTCTTTATAGTTCTTAGATGAGGTCGTGGCACTAGGGACATTATTGCCAATGTCAGATGGATCTTGGCAGAAAGCAGAGAGTACCAGAAGAATATCTATCTGTGTTTCATTGACTGTGCAAAGGCATTTGACTGTGTGGATCACAATAAATTGTGGCTAACCTTGAGGAAAATGGGAATCTCAGAACACTTGATTGTGCTTGTGAGAAACCTATACTTGGACCAAGAAGCAATTCTGAGAACCGAGCAAGGAAACAAGGAAACACTGCATGGTTCAAAATCAGGAGAAGAGTGTATCAGGGATGCATCCTATCCCTGCACCTTTTCAATCTGTATGCAGAACTGATCATTCAGGAAGCAGGGTTTTATGAGGAGTGTGGCATCAAGATTGGAGGAAGACTCATTCACAACCTACTATAGGCAGATGACACAACCTTGCTTGCTGAAAATGAAGAAAACCTGAGGCACTTGCTGTAAAAGGTCAAGGCTTGTAGTCTTCAATATGGATTGAAGCTCAACATCAAGAAGACAAAGATTCTTATCACTGGATCAATTGACAGCACCATATTAGATAGAGAAGAGATTGAGGTTGTTAGCAATTACAGTTTGTTCAGATCCATAATCAACACTCTTAACATCAGCAGTCAGGAAATCAAAAGACGAATTGCATTGGGAAAATCTGCTCTCATGGACCTCTCCAGAATGCTGAAGAGCAATGATGTCAGTCTACATAAAAGGTGTGTCTAATTCAAGCCATGGTCTTCACAATTACTTGTTATGCTTCAGAGAGTTGGACAATGACTAAGGATGACAGAAGAAGAATAGACGCCTTCAGGTTGTGGTGCAGAAGGGTCTTGACATACCATGGACTTCCAAGAAAATAAATAGGTTGGTCTTGGAAAGGGAGAAACCAAATCTTTCCTTGGAGGCTAGAATTCTGAAGCTCTGTCTCACTTGCTTTGGGCACGTGGCCAGGAGAGATTAGTCCTTGGAGAAGGAAATCATGCTTGGAAGGGTGGATGGACAGTGCAGGAGAGGAAGACCCTGGATGAGATGCATTGATACAGTAACTGGGGCAATGGAGGTTGGAGTGTCAAAATTAGTGACACTGACTCAGGGCAGGGAGGGCTCACAGGCGACTCAGTGGCACATAACAATAACATACCATGACAGGTTTGGAAGCAGGAGTGACATCCACTTCCTAAACAACATGCCTCCGGAAACTCTATGAACTTTGATAAATGTCGATAATTATAGAGCGCCTTCAGGCCTTTTGTTCATGGGGTTGCTATGAGCTGTGCTCAACTCGAAGGAAATCAACAACAACATGTGCAGTTATCTGCTTGTTTGCCTAGTCTCCTCCAAGATGACTGGGCCATCTCAGTGACAATATTGGTGGCAGTGCCTCACTGCCCAGG